CTTGCGCATGACCCAGTTGATTGCTATACCAAACAGCATCGGCGATAGGACACAGCCTTGCTTCACTTGCTTCCACCGGGAACCAGTCAGAATTGCCGGAATCAGTTCTTACACAGCATCGTGTTTCATTATAAAAAGATTTTATGATGTTGATATATTTGATGGGAAACCATAGATGTTAAGCAATTTCCAGTGTTGGACGATGGATACTGTCGAAGGCTTTTTGAAAGTCGACAAAGTTGATCAATAATTTCGACTGGAATTCTGAAGGATCTTCAACAATTATTCTAAGAGTAAAGGTGTGGTCTATGCATGACCGCTTGGATCTAAAACCGGCTTGTTCTTCCCTTAATCTTGCATCTATGGATTTTTTTAATCTTTCTAGTAGCATACTACAAAATAGTTTCCCTGGTATCGAAAGCAGGGTGATGCCTCTCCAGTTGTTACAATCGGATAAATCACCTTTTTTAGGTAATTTGAAGATTACACCATCTTTCTATTGTTGTGGTGGGTATTCGTTTAGCCAGACTTCATCCATCAGCTGGAGCAAATGTTGCAGGGTGTTTTCATCCGCTGCTTTCACTACAGAATAATTCAGTGCTAATTCCTTTTAGCACTCTGATCTTGTAGTGTTTATCACTGGCCTAGCCAGTTGGTGAGACTCCCCAACTGTTTGTTAGTCTGCTTGTATATCATCTCTTCACCATCTTGTATTCATGTGTTTACGCATTGGTCTACAATATATCTAATAGCGTCCTTTAAACAAAAAAATATGTAGAAATATTTTGCAAAAAAACAAGCCAGCACCCTTGACAGATTCAAACCGGAACAAAAAAATGGACAGTGCCTCTGGCAACTCAGTGCATGTGATGGTGGGGGGTGATCTATAGTTTTTACTGTTGACTTTTGTGCTCCACCACCACACACACACACACACACTATTTGTTGTGTAACTCCTACCGTATGGTATTCCCTAGCTTTTTGAGGGTTGCAATATACATAATGCTGAGCCAAAGGGTTTACAACTCGTGGGTTCTGGATCCCCTCCCCCTAAAAAATCTGCAACGCTTGGAGCTGTGATATTTCTTTTTAGTTCACCTGAGTGAATTGACCAAACATCTACTTTTTTTGACACATTGAATGAGCTCAGGGGGCCCATTGTGGAAAAAAAAAATTTAGACCCGCTTCTCTTGAAAACATGTAAGAGTTGACAAGACTTTACAGGGGATTCTGACAGATCTTTAATATGGTCTAGAAATGGACAAATGGTTTGGACTTTCTTTGGAGGTGTTCACAGCGAGTGAATGCAAACCAGTCTGGATCAGCTTTCCTATGTTCATAGGGCATTTGTAACCTGCATGTGTGATGGCTTCAACATTTCTTTAACCGCAGGTGTCATGCAGAATGGTTAACCCTCAAAGAATGACATGGACATTCTCCACCATCCAATGAGGATTCTATGCAGAGTTGACACACTTTCTGGTCCTGGGCTTACCCAAATAATTGTCATGTCCTGCACATGACTGTACTGAGCCTTTCACTCCAAGGTTGCACACTTTAGTGATCCACAGGAAAGTCTGAAGTCCAGAGTGTTTTTCTGCACAAATAGGCATCTCACGCCTTAGCATATGTTCATCAACTCTCTAACAGCGACACCCTTCACATGGACGTCCCATAACACTTGATGGTAAGCTTGTCTTTACTATATGGTCATTACACTCGGATGAGTTAGGTCAGTGGCAGCAGAGATTTGAAGATTTTGTGTCATAAAGTAAGATCTGCAGTAGGGCGCATGACAGACAAACATTTCAACAGACAGCTACAAAGGAGGAGTCTTGGTCGACAGGTGTTTGAACCATGTCATATAAAACATACTTGAACTAGTTGTCATTTAGGCTGTTTGGCCAGCAGATCTCACTCATATTGCAGATGACTTTCCCATGTACACTATCACTAATGCAGAACTAAACAGAAATGGATGTCCGAAGAAATCTTAAAGTTAGTGGGTGACAGAAAACAATGTATGAATGATAAAGAAGAATATGACTAGATAAATAAAGAAATAGGCAAAAGAAGATTGGCCTAATGAACGATGCAATAACATTGAACACAGTTCTATTAAAAATGCAAAAAGTGTGCACACACAAATAAACGATCTAACTGGAAGAAAGATACAAGTAAACACAGGGTGTCTGAAATAAAAAGCAGGAGAGATCTTAATGTAGGAAGATGATATAAGTAGATGGAATGAATACTTAACTCTTTAAGTCTCAAAGAACGCATCATATGTTCATAGGTTAATACATAGAAGTCCAATGAACACATGATGCGCCAATTTTACATTTTTGTTGACTACCCTTTGTGTCTCTGATGCTAAACCCCCTGGGACTCAAAGAGATATGAGTTATATGATGAAAAGAGCAGAATTATCAGGAAAAAAAAATACATTTAAAAGGTCCGTCTATACTAAAGGAAGAAGTCAGCGATGCTATTAAACATTTAAAGAAGGGAAAGTTAGCTAGGCCAGATAAAACTTCGGTAGAAGAATTACAAATGCTGGGGGAATTTAGGGTAAAAATATTAACTAAACTGATGAATGACATTTATACAAATAACATACCAAGTGACATGATGAAATCTATTCATTGCGTTACTCAAAAGACAAGGAGAAATTGTATGTGAAAGATTTCTGTGCAATCAACCTAATAAATCATGTCACCAAATTACTTATTTAGAATTATGAGAAGAACAAGAAAAATGGGAATGAAAATGGGTGAAGGGAAAAATGGATTTATTGAAGGTAAAGGAACAAGTAATGTAACATATTACGAACACTGACAGAAAGATAAATGGACATACAAAAGGTCTTATATTCGTGCTTTGGTAAAGATCTCAAAATAGTTTAAAACATTTACTGGAACCAAGTAGCAGCAATTAAAGTGAGAAACAGATTGGGTACTTTTTAACAGATAAAGCAAGGAGTAATACATGGATGTATTTTATCCCCAGACCTTTTCTCTCTATACTGTGAAATAATTTTGAGGGAGATTGAAGAGAATGCAGGAGTAAAAGCTAGAGGACACTATAAATAATTTGCGTTATGCAGACGATACAGTTTTGATAGCTGAAAACATAACTGATTTACAACTGCTGGATATTGTGGGGATGAAGAGTTCTAAGAAAGGACTTTCCTTGAATAATAAGAAAACGAAAGTAATGGTTTTATCAAAGAAGATAACGCCACATTGTGATAACTAAATTGAAGGAAAAAAAGCTTAACCAAGTCAAATATCTGGGAACAATTATATCATTAGATGGAAAATGTATGACAGATTAAAAGCAGAATAAGTCAAGCAGTATTTCAGAAAAATGAGAAATATCCGTTCTCCTTGCAACTACGGCCACATATTGGGGGGAGTACGCCGGAGTTCAGTCCCCTGGCCACATTGCAATTACGGAATGGAGAAGGAACGAATCACACAACACAGTGAGGTCGACATGGCTGGCAGACCGACAACAGTACACTGCACCAAACCCTAACCCTATGATGGCACTGCACGCTGTCTATCGCTCACGCTGTCTGTCGCCAACACACACTAATTACGTCATTTGTAATGAGTAGCTCTTAATTTAGTATCAGAAAGAGTGTTCAATTGTTACATAGAACATGTACTGTATGGCAGAGAATCTTGGAATGTCGGTGAACAAATTAGGAAGAATTTGGAAGCAACAGAGATGTGATTTGTTCCACTCCACTCCTCTGTCAGATGTCTTCCCAGCGCACCCTGGAGGTCTGGTTCCCCGGTTCTTAGCCTCCCATAGTGGCAGATTTTCTCTCATTCAGCATACATGTCTAAACCATTGTAACTGTGACTGATCCGCTCGGGTTTGTAAAGACTGGGTATCAAGATCTTAACGTAGTGTCTGCATGCGGACTTTGTCCCTTCTTGTCACTTGGACCACTTTTCTCAGATATCTCATTTTTGAGGCCTGACGCTGGCTTCTGTGAGCTGTTGTCATTGCCCATGACTCATACCCATAGGTCAGGACTGGTAGAGCGGTAAATGGTCATTTTCGTCCTCTTGCCAATTTCTCTTTTACTAAGAAACCCCCAGTCTTTATGCCTTCATTTCAGTCTGATACAACTCCAAGGTATCTGAACTGGTTGACCTGCTCCAGTGCATACTGTCCCATCATGATCTGGTGTTTCTTCTCCTCTCTTGAGATCACAATGGTTTTAGTTTTGGAGATACGGATGGTCATCCCTCTCTTCTCAAGCTCTTCCTTCCAGACAAGTAAGTTGGACTGAAGGTGTGCCTCTGATTTTGAAATGATAGCATGGAGGGATATCATCAAGAGAGCTGTTCCAGGCAATCAGGGATCGTGATCTATGATGATGATGAGAGCTTTGGGAGAAAACCAAACAAGTTCCAGTAGACCAAGTGGACACATGTTGAGAAGACTGGAGAACAATATAACTAGAATGTCTTTCCACAGGGATAAAGGAAGGCCAAAAAACACGAAATGAGGTTAACAATATGGGGAGAGCTACATGTGATAGCAAAGAACAGAGTGAATTGGTTGAGGGTCTATGCTCCACTGGCGGTTAGAAAGGCGGAAGAAAGGAATGTATTTTAAATATCATTGAACAATTTTTTTAAAAATTCCAAAATATCTCAAAGATTCAATTTCTTCCAATGTGATGCTGTATGACCCAGGTGCCAATCAGCCATCCCCTAATTTAAAAGTTACTCTTGGATGAAGGGATATGGGGAGGGAAAAGCACACACCAAAAAGGAAAGGTGACTTGATACAATCATATCAGTTGTTTAATGTCATTCGTTACAAACTTTTACATTCCACAAACACTTAGCAATCTTCTTTAAATATTATTCTTTATTATCAAGCAGTATTTTTTTAAATATTATTTTACATCAAACAAATCAAGCATGTGTGGTAGAAATCAAATGGTGCCCAAAAGCGTGCATCTGGTAGAAAAGTTACAATGCTCCTGGTTGATGTGAAGGAAGGTGGAAGACATGAAGCTGCTCATCCCACCCACAGTCAGCCAGCTGGGGATAGATGGACAAAGTATACATTAGTCTTTTTCCCCTATAAAACCACATCTTTGCAGCTTCCATATCACTGTTTTAATTATCAGCTGACTGTCAGCGAGACACTTCCATACAACAGGGTTGACTACCAATGAAACTGACACTGATGCAAAATATGTTCAGAAGTTATGATGAAGGAAAGGCTACACTAATAAAAACCTGGGACAGGAAATTAAAAAAAAATTGTAATATAATTCCCCTCCCAATAAGGGACGTAATTTTTGTGTGTGGAAATTTAGAACCCCACTCCGGCTATTTTCAAGGGTCCTAAAAATCCTAACGGTTGAATGGGGTTTCTGGGATTTGTGCCAAAGTGATTCTCATCCATATGGTGGCACTTTGTTTCATCAGGTATTTTTGTTTCTCATTGTACGGTCCTAGTGAGATTGAATGAGACAAACAAATTGAAAGTTGCTTTATAACCAAATAAAACTGCCAAAGCCATGAAGAGACTGAGAACCTAACTGAAAACTGGCTTCACCATTAGCTTCATTGTTTTCTCTTAAAGCAAATCACTCATGATATTTTCTAATATCCAAGAAAGGAAGGTAACGCTTTGATTTAATCAACCTATATCATCATGAGTAAAGCACATCCACCAGAGTTGAAAAAATACATGGTAAAGGTTTTGACATTGAAGCTCAATGGTAACCGTAAGGTGACAGGTACCCTACGTGGATTCGATCCATTCATGAACCTTGTTGTTGATGACTCAGATGAAGAGACCAAGATTGGAGAAAAGAGGTATATATAGGTATGCTGGTTATCCGTGGCAACAGTGTAGTTCTTCTAGAGTCGCAGGAACAAGTTTGAATGAAATCATCACTTATCAGCTCATTTCATGTTTGTTTTTTCAATTCTCTTGAAATGTATACTTGATTTTCCAAAAAGATCTTTTCTTAACAATTTTCTCTTATGGGAATCTGGTACTAAGAGTAAGACCCCTGTGATGACCTTCATCTATTTAAATCAAGCATTTCTACGAAGCATTTTAAAACTCATGCTGTCACACTTTAACAAATATCTCAAAAACTTCTGTATGGATCAACACACATTTTTGCAAGTGGTGGCCTTAGATTTCCCATGTCCATATGATTCTATAACTTACAATAGCACAGATGCTGCTGTTTGTTAAAGCGGTGAAATTCTTTGATCTTTGTTTGACTAATAATTTCTGTACCCTGAAAATAGAATATACAGTAAGTGACAAATGCCAACAAGCCAGTGCACTTATATACCAACTGACACCGTTTTTAAGACATAAGTGTGAGTGCCAAGAAACTGATTATAAACAGCATATTCAAACCAACACTGTGCTGCCAGTGTTTTTCTTGGACATTATCAAGGGCAAACCTAGGTAAAATTAACATCTGCGAATTGAGATGCTTGAGAAAAGCCGCCAACTTAACCATCCAAGACAAAGTTAGAAATGATATTATCAGACAAACTACAGGAACAAAATCATGCAAGATGCTTGAGAAAAGCCGCCAACTTAACCATTCAAGACAAAGTTAGAAATGGTATTATCAGACAAACTACAGGAACAAAATCATGCAACAAATTTGTTGAGAAAGAGAAGATCAGATGGCTAGGTCATCTAGTAACAAAGCAGCTAGAACAACTATCAATGCAGGCACTACACATGAAAAGATGTGAAGTGAATGAAATCAAGAGGCCACCCTAAGAGGATATGGATTGATAACATTAAAGAGCTTCTACATGGACATGGAATGACATTAGTTATTGCTGCCCATCAAGCAGATCACAAATTGTTCCTCCCCACAACGCCTAATATCAGGTGGAAATTGATGATGACATGTTGATTCTGTATTTCAGTTTGAAGGATTCATTTATTTGCTTCATTTTAATCAACTGCTATTGCAGTACGCACCTGATGAGATAAGTTAAATATGCCAGGTAAAAAATTGTGCAGTCTATTGTCTGTATCTTCTTTATTCATAATCATCAAAGGTTTACCTGTCCAGGTATGTGCAAATTAAAGTCAAGTCCATACACAAACTCTGTATGGTGCTCTATGGTATCAACACACGTCTGTTTTTCGACATCCCATATTCTGTGGAGATAATTTATAAGATTACACCACAAATAAAAGTATTGGTATTCTGTGTTTGGTTCAACTATTTCTAATCATAATTGTTATCAATGTATTTATGGATAACTATTACTTGCCATTAACATATCTTTATCCCTCATGCCCACCTCGCATTTTGATATACTATACGCACAAATCAGCACTAAGAGACAAGGGATGTATGAATGACTATTGTGTGCATCCCAGCAGTGAATGTTCCCCAGCTTTTTGGTCGGAGCATATGAATTATCTGGGGCTTTTCAGTAATTACCTGCACTATAGGTATGTATCCCACTTAGTGTTTGATGCACAAATTTGGCATTGAAAGGGTTAATAAATTTCAGGCAAACAAAACATTCACAAGCATTATAAAAAAAATCATATCATGTCAAGTTAGTCAGACTACTGGTATGAAACTTATGAACCAGTCACATTTTCACTGTAGACATGAGACCTGCTCAGTTTACTTTAGAAGATAGTACTATAGTGGTTTCCTGTTTAATTCCACATCATCCTGAAAGAGTTTTCTAGTTATCAGCATCTAAGTGGTGTGCAATGCCATATGCACTAACACTGTTGATGGGCGGACACTCCTATAATTATCCAACAACATAAAATAAACAGAAGGAAATGAAATTTACAGACCAGAACACAACAGCATAAGAAGACTTGGCAGAAATCTGCTGACCAGGAACATAAAACTCAAAACAAGCTTTCATCAAATGAGCCTCATTGCCACATGCAGATGTGAAGTACCTAAGCAATCTTTACAATTTCAAAAAAAATTATTCAGATATCTGTAGAGAGAGGAAATTTGAGTCAAGGGAGTGCATCTACAATAACAAACTATTGGTCTCTCTGTCCTGTTTATGACTGGTGCTGGAATGGATGTACTTCAACAATTGCTAAAGTTGAAGAATCACTGATGGGCTCACAAAGTTGCCAGAATAATGAAGAACCAGCTGGCTCAGATGTAAATGTAACACAAGTTACAGAATGCGATGATCATGGAGTACCATTGGTATAAAATGAATAGCCTAGAAGTCTCAATATGCCTCATGCTTTACTATACTTTAGGACAATGGACTTTTGATGTTTGAGGCCTGTCCAAGCAGCAACAACACAAACAGTAATAACAAATATATTAATCATCCAATTCTTCTATTTAATCATTTGCTTGCATGCTCACACAAACACAGATAATACTTTAAAAAAAAAAACAACTAATGTTATTAATTGATATAGTGCTGCATTTCATGTTGTTTATGCAACTTACTTGACTGTAAAATCATAGGATGCAGATGCTACAACAGCACCACTGAAGGGGGAGCTCTGATGAATGAAAGTACAATGTACAGATAAAGTGAAGCAGAGGGTCTCAACTTCTAAAACAAAGATGTGAATAAACATAGTGGGTAAAGACAAGCTCACTGAATCTACAGTGTTTGTTCTTCATTCATACTGGGTTGGCCATGTGGATGTTTGTACTGACTGCAGCCAGGGGTGCTGGAACTCACGCACCACGACACCCTCTTCCCTCCCCAAAATTTTTTTGGGTGGCTGAAGCTCCCTCTTCTACGAAATTAGCAAGGCAGCTAAGGGCCAAGCGGCCCCCCCATAACCATACACTGACATGATATTTTAAAGAATACATTTTATATTATTTCAAAGAAATACATTTTTTTGTCATTAATCACAAAATAACAATAACACTAATAAGTTATTATTACTGTGCAGCAACATCCCATCCCCCCATATTTCTTCAAGGTGGTGCAGCTGCACTGCAAATATATAATTTGTCTACTAGTGCATGTGAACTGTCATCTCATTTACTGCTCTAATTACACAAAACTGTACGACAGGGAGTGATTTTTTGCCACAAGATAGAGCCCCACGGCTAGTTCAGTTAGTCTGGTAGTCCTAGTTTCAGCTTCATAGCAAACGGGTCACCCCATCTTTGCTCCGCTCCTGTCCCATGTGGGAAGATTGACAGACTGCTGTCTCAGCATATCCTCGCATTAAAGCATATGGTAGCCATCCGAAGTGTTAACACAAACAGTCCGACATTAGAAATGCAGTTCATCATTGATGGTAGCAGAAGTCACCAACAGATCTGCAGTTGCCCACACGATCAATTTTAATCACCTATGAGCACCACCAAAATTGCGTCGACAGGCATTACGCCTTTTTCTGAATCTACAATTTACACCACCACGTTGGTCACAGTCGAAAAAACATTCCAAATAAAATCCGCAGCTTACAGTGTCACGCCATGCATTCAACTCAGAAGCTGGGCGACGAAACTATATCCAGTCTACAAATGGAACAAAAATGCATCGGCCACCGTCCGGCAGAAGCAAAAAATTTGCCTCGGTTCTAAAAATAGTGGCCCGCCTAGCGTCCATTTTGACCGGAAGTTAGTATAAACTGTGCAGTCATACAGGAACTGTTTTCTTGGTGTAGTGATCTTCTTTACCCACTTTCAGATGTCAATTTATATAAATAAATAAAAAAACAGCAGCAGTCAATTTAAACTTACCACTCCACAGAATTTGTCCTCGGAAGCCACTGTCATATGCCAAAATAGTTTTCTCTGCTCTGCTTACTCTTGCAGAAAATGGTTAGCCACAAGGGTACTAACAGGTTTATTATCTTGGCGGTGCAGGAAATGTCGTCCACTGCTTAAATGATGCCTAATTGCTACTCAGTCTGACTACTGATTCAGCAAACTTTGTTTTATCATGAATCAGATAGTCATAAATTGGTACATTCTTTATTCATCCCAAATATTATGTTCTATTTCATTCATTGGCACCTTAACATCTTTCCATACGATAGTGTTATATTGCGCTATGAGGAGGCATGAGACTCACAGCCCATGGTGATGGCGAGTATGACTAGCAAGCCCCCCCCCCCGTGTCAAGAAAAGTCTTCCACAATGATAGCATAGGATTTTAGGACCATTTTTTAACAACATTCATGATTAATCCGTTTCTTTTTAGACGCTCAGCTCTCATCCTTTCTGCAATCATTTCTTCCTTCAGTCTCATTTCCTTCCTGATTTAACCTATAATTGTGAGCTTTCTGTTCTCCCAAACTCTCTTTGTCAATCTGCTCACTGTTGTTGCTGCCTTACCTAGCAGAAGGCATGGTACCAGGAAGGAGGGACAGGGGCCGACCAACACGAAGATGGGCACAAGATACAAGTGACTCCTTGAATATGAAAAGTACACAAGGAGGGAGAGCTGGTGAGAGACTAAGTTTCTTTCAGGCAGATCATAATGAGATGGACGTTCTGCAAAGGACCTGCTACATGATGATTTTTCTGTCACAAAATATTAATTCAATAACTACTATAGGACATTCATATAACCTCTAGATTCTGTTTTATGGTGCTTACAGTGTTATCCAAGACCATCTTTTATTTATCTATTCAGTTTTCCTTACATTATTAAAAGGCTAAGCTGTAATTTATTTATCTACATTTATTCAACTAATAAATATTGATAATATCATCAATAACAAGAAGTTGTATAAGTACCCGAACACGCCGGACTGCATATTTGTGTCCACTTAACACACACAGTGGACTCTGTGGGTTACGGATATCCCAGGATTTGATGAAGCCATCAGAACTTCCAGAAAACAACACATTCTGTGAAGAAAAATTAAGTTATAACCTTGCAGTAAATTTAATTGAAACCTGCCACAGATCATGCCATCTCAGATTTCAAACTGGAATTCTCCAATTGTTTAGTTCCAAGCAACTCATCATGAATTTGTTGGTGTCAACTGATATGGCTGACTTGTCTGAAGTCATTGTAACCCATTTAGTTGTGACTCTGAGAAACTCTGTGTCAGCTGTTTTTTATCCCCACCTGTCCTGTTATATCATTAACACCTCAGGCCTAAACAGTTATTACTTAAAGTTAACTTCTTAGCAATCAAATGACCATCTTCTTCTAAAAGAATTAAGTTCACCTTTAACTCTTGTGACCCTAGACAGTTGTTATTTCAGTACATTCTATACCAGTTTGTGTACTTCAGAATGACAAACTTTGTGTCTGTCTAAATATGGGACAGGTCGAGTGACATTAACAGATAGGATATAGTGGGTTAACGTAACAAATGTTACATAAGATGTGAACAAATCTGCAGAGTAACCAATAAATATATTGTAAGTTGTTTGATAATAAAAGAGTTAATGCTAGAATATCTTTCTTTTAAGTTCATTTTCTAAACGACAAATCCTTATCATGCATGACACTGCTCTTATCATAGAATATGGCTCTCATCATGGCCTGCCAGAAAAAAACTCGCAATCTTTTGCCAATTCCCCTATCTCTTAGGGGCAAGTGTCCTTGCTTGCTAATTGAAAAGTCTGGCTCAAGTACTGGCAGGTTTTGTTGTCCTAAACTACATGGCTGTGGATTTAACCTAGCCTTGTAAAATGAGTAAAGGAGAACTTTCCTTAATAATTTTCCAACTCTGCCTGAGACAGAAAAACAATGAAGGGAACTGGTTACTTCAGATCAATGTGTCAAGACCTGGTAGAGTAAAAGGTGTTTAAAGGAACGGTGATTAACTTCATTGTGCTCTGATTTATCTCTAATGGCTGTTGGCCCATAAAAGCATTTGCACAAAGCATGAACTCTGTAGCTTCAGCAATAAATTGACCCTAGGGATCTGTGAAATAACTACACAGTGGTACCTCAGAATTCAAACACAATCCGTTCCGAGAGGGCGTTTGAATTCCAAATGAAATGAGTTCCAAAGCAATTTTTCCTACTGAAAATAATCTTTTCTCTACTCCTGGAATGCCTCGTGGCATCAGGGCAGGAAAGAGCTCTCTGGAACGGGCCCTTCTGTTCGCTTCATATTAACTACTTTTCAGTGTCTCTGATATTTCTGTGGTCCATATTCTGTGTGGTGGACCTCGAAGAAAATAATGGAAACTGAATTACTCTGTTCCAGGGTCCAGTAACTCAAATTAAACAAATATAGTAAGTACACTGTAAATATAGTAAAAAATGATCATAACATTTGAATAAAAACATAAATAAATTAAAAATAAAAAAGATATATAAACATTGTATTCAATGTCAGGGACCCTATTCCATGCCTTCAGGGGCACTGGGCATATAGGGTTAGACCTAAATTGTACCGATCAATCGGCACTCATTGGGTTATGTGGTCATGTATTGAAAGTATTTGATAAAAACTGGTGACACAGCACACAAAGGTAGGAGGAGAGAGGGAAATTAGGGTGATTATTGTTTGGAATGTGAATAGCCTCCCATGATAACATCAGGAAATTTCTGGTTTCATATTGTAGTATTTCCCCACTTGTAGAGGGTTTTGGGTCACTAGTTTTTGTTGAGAGCCCGTGTGTAGGAAAAGGAGTCAATAGGCGGGGTAAACGAGTACAATCAAGAATGCATGCACTGAAGCGAACATCAGCGTCAATCCATCACTGGGTGGCATAATAGAAAACAGTGATTAAAACGCTGGTCAGAAAATGCCACACTAAGATATGCCAGGAACATTTGGGATTAGGTATGCAACAGGTACTTTGGACACAGGGTGAGCAAGTAATATTATTTCTGACAAATCAACACAGGGTAAACTCCAAAGAAACGAGATAGGCTAGAATCCTGTGTAAGATTAATCATTGTAAACACACATCACTCTTTTGCAGTCTAAGATGATGAGAATGAACAGGTGAAGGATCGCAGCGAAGACAGACCACAGACACTAGCAGTGGCATGAATCCAGGGGCAGGGTACGCTGACGATAACACCGAGATATGGCAGGGGTCACCTTGGCAAGATAGGGAACAGGTGCACAAAGAGATGAGAGTGGGGTGCAAAATCACACAGACTGTGTGAAAAAAAAAGAGAGATAATGAAAAATGGGGAAAGAAGGTAAGAGAGAGGGAGAGCAAGACAGTGAGAGCTCGGGCATTAAGATGGGCAGTCGACAAGCACTCCAGCTTGTGAATATAGAGTTGACTAAATGAAGAGAGTAAACTTGGTTAGAAAGAAAGATATTTCTACAGTACATTTAGAAGAGACCTTATTAACGGTCGATAACAGTGAATAACTTGTTAGAGTAAGTGTTTGGTGTTTAAGGTGGTGTTCATGCTCCAAAGCAAAATTCTGCTGAAATTGGGTGTGTTGAAAGGTGTAGATATCAGTCTACTTGTAAACTGCAACACAACACGCCAACCACCATTTTACGGGCAAATAAATAAGAAGGAAAGGCCTAATATTTCACACCCCAATGGAAATATCTTCTGTGGTGGCTACACTCGTGTTTACATATAATAAACAAAAAAGAAACCCACTAATTTATTGTTTATCTCATTACCCCTACTTACTTTGTCATATTTACACCAGTCACATGTCAGAACCTCTCCTTTGTGAGCGGGTATAACAACTGCACCACTGTCCGGTTTCCTGCTGTCCCACAACCTAACTGTCTGATCACCTGAAACATGACAGTAATAATAATAACATCTGTTGTCACACATCTACATCCCTACTCCTTCTTCTACTGGCCATTATTGGCCAACAGAGCAAAATTGTCCTCAACCGATTCATCGCCAACACATGCATCTTAACCCATGTCCTCCTTATTTTGTTCACACCATTCTCTAATTATGCTCTCCATGTGCCTACATATAACATCTAAAACAAGGTGATGCTCTGTCCCCACTTCTGTTCAACTTGGCCCTGGAGACAATTATAAGGAAATTGAAACAAGAGTGTACTATAGGAGAATCTACGAGAATACTTGGATATGCAGATGACATTGATTTCGTTTGAGAAAATTAACTTGGGGCTGTTAAAAAACTGACTGTCTTATAAGAATCAGCTCAGAAAATGAGACTAGCTATCAATCAAGATAAGATAGAATACATGATAATAACCAGACAGGGAAAGGATATAAACTCCGGCCACATACAAGTCGATAATATGAAAATCAAACGAACAGAAACATTTAAGTACCTGGGTGCAAACTTCAATTGCTCGAACATGCTGAGAGAAGAAATACAATCTAAAATACAATCTGGAAATAAAGTATACTATGCCTTTCAACATCTGCTTAAGTCAAAGTGTCTCTCTTGCAACACCAAGATCAAAATATATAAATCGTTGATAAGACCAGTCGTTTTATATGGCTCTGAAACTTGGAGCACAACTAAAAGAGATGAAGCCTTATTACAGGTTTTCAAAAACAGAGTCTTACGATGAATCTTTGGACCCACCAAAGATGCAAACATGGTGAATGGAGAGTGAGAAGCAACAACGAAATTCATAATCTGTTTAAATCACCACTGATAACTGGCATCATGAGAGCTAATAGACTGAAATGGTTGGGGCATATTGAGAAATTGTCAGATAACAAAGTAAAAACTGTATACAAAAGGGAGATGAATGGTCGTAGACCACGAGGCAGACCAAGAAGACGGTGGAGAGATAATATCCACACAGACCTGCAAACACTTGGTGTCATCAACTGGAAAGAGAAGACCAACCAGAGAGATGAATGGAGGTGGGTTATTCTGCAGCAATGAACCTTAAGGGCTCAGAATGCTGAAGAAGAAAAATGTGCTATATTAATTTGACTCCTAGGGGGTCCAGCTGAAAGACGTTTTAGTTATACTGTTATCAGCTTTTCTCAAAGTGTGTTTTATCCAATGTCAGTGTCTTTTTCTCACCTCTTGATTCACTGTAATATATTTAGTTCTCTATCAAACTCCAAATTAGTCACACATTAAACATTCTATGTGTCACGTGGTGACACTGATCACTGGCGTGAGAGAAAGTTAAGCAAGACTCCTGCCCCATGTCCACATTATGCGCCATGGATAAGGGCTAACCTCTGTGACCTGAACCGAGAAAGCAGAGGATCTTGGAGTTGTAACCTCTAGAGATGTAATGTCCAGTCTGGCTCTCATCAGCCCAACCCCAATGCATGGGTGAAAACTGCTGTACTGCTGAGATTCATCCCTTTAACAAGAGATTAAATAACAGCCTAGACGAGCAACGCCTCTTGTGGGCGGTAACTTGTGGAACAGTACTGTCTCCATACATCCCCTGCTATTCCTCAATGTCATCATCATCACACTGAGGTACTCAATGACAATCTGCCACTGTCAGTGTGCTCATTTGGCTTAAATGTTCGTCTGATATGGCACAGAAACAAAGTCCTGAATGTCCGACAGAAAAAAGTCTTATTAATTGACTGAAAGGTTCACATGACCATTACCACTGGCCCCTTTTACCACAGAGTGGCACCTAAAAGTTGGAGCCATGCCGGATGCACACTTTTGCTGCACTGTCTTGTTAAGTTTCCAGATGAAACAACGTTGAAGGTGTCTTACATGTCAAAGAAAAATGTACCTATACTGCACTTGCGGGCTGCTCCCTGCTGATCTCCAGAGGGCATAGCCCAAATGATTGGCTTTATATATGGATGTGAGATTAAGCAGTCATGTGCAGGACGTGACGGTTTCTTGTGTGAGACCAGGACCAGAGCGTCATGTGTCGGCTCTGCATTTATGGAAGACTCCTTGGATTGTAAAAAATGCCTACGATCTGCCCCTGCCTTCCCTTGATGGCCTACTTATCTACATACGGATGCCCTGTACGGGATCTCCAGGGGCAATATCTGTAGATTAGGGGACAAAGAAAACACCACACAAATAAGGCCAAAACATGTTCCTGTCTAATGAAACCTCCAAGAAGTTAACCCAGCCAAGAAATTATCGATGAAGCCAGATGTGTCGGCTGAAAGGTGCAAATATTGCAGCTCTGCTGTAAACAGGCACAACACATTTATGTCATTCGGATGAACGAAAAGAAGAAAACATGCTTTGTTGATATACACATGACCTACATCACCTGAAGCAGATGCGAAGCAACCTGGGATATGAGGGGACCAGCAAGCATTGTAGACAATGTAGTCATGCCCTGTATATGTGGCCAGGGACTGGTTGTGATTGATATCCCACTGTGTAGAAATAAATGAAACCAGAAAATAAGGACTGAAACATGGAATATGAGAAGCTTATAACAAAAGAAACAAAACAAGATTAATAAGAAATTGCTAGAAATGAGCATGGATTTATCATCTTTATAAAACACATCACTAAAAATGAAACAAACTTAACATGATGGTGACAGCCATGACAGCACAACAGCTGGTGCCTGCCTGGAGGTCTCAAGTTCAAATCTGCATCAAAACAGATTTTGATAATTTACTTGAGCTCCTATCAACATCACCTAAGATTGGTACCAGGAAATGTCAGGAAAAGTAAAGGCAATAATTTCAATCAAGTGCTGATTGGTGTTTACAAATATATGACAGGCACCACATGCCCAATGGTGATATAAGGGTCCTTTACTTACCACAACAGTGAATAATTTGTATTTGGACAAGATATGTACACGTATACTGTAAAAGATATTTCATGACAAATATACTTTAATTTATTATCATAACAGCAGGGGGAGAAAGTTGACCGTCAGTTTCACATTTGTGTATCTGTACAGGAACCATGCTATGTAAACTATGAGACCTGCCTTCTTACACTTGCCTAATATTTTCAATAATTTGGAGCAGATGCAGTAGACCAGGGTTATTTCACTGGTGGCCAGCTCAGACCTAGCAAGTGGCCCGCAGATCATTGCCAAATGTATCGTATCAAGGATCTTTTTATGCTAGTCTTCGGGCCTCTGGCCGATGAAGATTCTAATTTTCCACATTTTGGACTCTGAGCTAACTCAGCTGAATAGACCTGCAGTAGATCATGAAGCAAACAAGAAGAAAATGGAAAGGTAATGTATATGTAGACTTGAAACACTTGCAGTCACCAACTGAAAAGAGAAGGCTAATCACAGAGATGAACGGAGGCTGGCGATGTCTGCATCAGTGAACCTCAAGGGCTCGGAATGCTGAAGAAGAAGATAATGGAGCAACAATAATTTGGAGAAAATGCAAAGTATATGTCAGTTTTACAGAACACAAAACAATAAATAAACAAGGGACATAATGCTTCAACACTCTGTCATCAATAGATTTCCATATATGTGTACTTTTATTTCTCAATGTTTGCTAATTGAGTACTGTCAGTAGTATGTCCTTTGTCAGTTACTGCCTGATTGAAAAAATGTTCAATTCACTGTTTCAATTTGAACACATTTTTTTTTCCAAGCAAACTTACCAGTTTGATAAGATGATCCCATGAAGCACTGATCACAAAATGCTCATTTCTTGTTTGGCTCCAGTCAACTGCATTTACCTGGTATGACACACACACACAATTCAGCAAAATATAACCTGCCCTAAAGCTACAGAATATTATTAATACTATATCCTTACGTCCTTTTTAGGACGTAATTTTTTTGTTATTTGAAGCCCCAACCTGGCTTTTGCCAGGGGCCACAATATAGGCAGGCCATAAATATGGCCAATTGTCTGAATGCGGTTTCTGGGACCTCTCCACGGTGATCCTCATCCACGTGGTGGCACTTTGTGTTTTCGGGTGTTTATTGCTTGTGTGATGTCCTGGTGGGGTAGACTGAAAGTCAGTCAGCTACAGAATAATTAAGTATCAACATGTGAGAGATACATTTACCAGAATAGCAAATAAAGTAGGTAAAGGACTTTAATAATAACTATCATGAACCTGTTTTGGATACATAGCATATGATACTCATTGCCTGATGAGAATGAAGCATCTGTGTTTGAGAGACAGCACAAGCCAACACACACAAGTTCAAAACAGGTGATCTTTACACAGATCTCCCCACCCCTACAGCTATGTCTGTCTCACCCACCGATAACAAATAAATGCAATAAATAAACATGGACAATAATTCTGTTGACAGTATAATTCTTCCGAGAATTATCCTTTCTCTGCCCTTCTAGATGAATCTCTGGTCTGGCTGTTGTTCCCCGTTGGGCTGCTATCCAACAGTTTAACATCCTTGAGACTCAAAGCTCTGATCCTGGATATCAGTCTAACAAGGCATATTCCAGTGCAACCTTAGAAACGTTTATAATTAGGGCCCCCACAACAATCATACTAGCCTGATATCTCCTGCTTTTCAAGGTGGGTAAGAATGCGGTGACAAATCCCTGGACTTTCTGCCACAAGTAACAATGGCTTGATGGTAGTTTCCTCTTATGATTTATATTAATCCACATTTTTCAGCTAGATTCATTTTTTTTTCAACTGCTGGTTCCGACTGTGTCATCCAGGACATTCTGCGTTTACTTCTTTATCTACTTTACTTTTACTTTAAAAAAATATTTCAATGAGAAAACTTACTTCTTTTGTATGCTCTTTCAGCACTTTCAGTGGATTCTGAAATAAATATAGAGAAGTATTCTTTATTTCACAATCATGTGGTAAGTAAGCAGGTTAGTATTAATCATAATTATCCATCACTGTCAAAGAGTATCATATTGTCATCTGTGAGTTCGGAGGTCGCTGATCAGACAAACCTGAACAAGGGAATGTGTGCTAAATAAACACAGAGGAGTTTCAACTAGCAATTGGGACCAAGGTAACCCAATATTTGATTTTTGTATCACACATCTTTATTCAGTTACCTCAATTTGTAACTGTTCCTTCTTCTTATTCTTTAGTATTTATCTTTCAAAGGACAGTTCTCCAGTGTGTATTCTGGGCCCCATTGTGGAGAAAATAACAAAGGACCCACTGCCTCCCAGAAAAGCTTGTCTAAGAGTGAATGACTAATTGGAAGCTTCCTTTGAAGTTGGAGTGCATCTGCCCAAGTGATAAGGAACAACCAACTGCATACAAATAAGCCAGTAAAACAGATATACATTCAAAACTCAGGCCCTAGCTTAAAGCCAAAGTCCAAATGGATGAACAACCAGGGTTTTCCACTGGAGCTTACAGTTGGTAAACAAAGAAGAAGAATAAAAGGACAGTTGGTATGTTGTACTGTGGTTTACAGCTTAGCTGCAATATCTGCACCTTTCAGACAAACTCTTCAGTTTACAGCAAATGCTTAACAATCACCTTTTACAACATGACTGATCTCCCAAAATGAGGGCACGCAGGGACCCAGGCAGGCACACAGGGACCAGCTGTTCCAAAATGTTACAAAAGGTTCACAACACTATAGAGAGCAAACTGCATCAACACTCACAAAGTTATTGCTATTGCTATAATTCCATTAGATAAATGTTTTAATGTATAAGTTCATGACTGGACTGTTGTTGTGTGTCAATTCTGAGTTGACCTAGGACAGGCTTGTTGATGGGTGACTTCACTGTGAATTCACCAGGTGTCAACATTTTATTCTGTGTTGACCTAGGACAGGCTTGTTGATGGGTGACTTCACTGTGAATTCACCAGGTCTCAACATTTTATTCTGTGTTGACCTAGGACAGGCTTGTTGATGGGTGACTTCACTGTGAATTCACCAGGTCTCAACATTTTATTCTGTGTTGATCTAGGACAGGCTTGTTGTTGGGTGACTTCACCAGGTCTCAACATTTTATTCTGTGTTGACCTAGGATGGGCTCGTTGATGGGTGACTTCACTGTGAATTCACCAGGTCTCAACATTTTATTCTGTGTTGACCTAGGACAGGCTTGTTGATGGGTGACTTCACTGTGAATTCACCAGGTCTCAACATTTTACTCTGTGTTGACCTAGGACAGGCTCGATGATGGGTGACTTCACCAGGTGTCAACATTTTATTCTGTGTTGATCTAGGACAGGCTCATGTCAAGTTGGCCTGGGTCAACATTCATACCGAAATCGTGAGAAGCAAGACTTGGGAGCACAGAGGTATGAAGGAGTACAGGAGACACGGGAATAATGCATGCATTGCGGGTGGATGGAAATGCACATAGATCTCAAGCGGTGTATATACTTGAGCAAGTCTCGAGAACTGAGCAGAGTTGGAGATAGCGAGTAGAGCATGGTGCGAGGAGATTGTCTTGCTGTGCAGACACCTTTGGTCATGCATGTGTGAAGTAAGCAATAATTCTACATGAGGCAGTGTATCTCATTAGTGTCTGGTCATCAATTGTGAATCGATGAGGCTCACTGATTGAGAGTCTGATCAGTTCACTGTAGAATTCCTCGGCGCTGACTGACTTGCGGTTGTGTGCCCATCACAGAAACTTAGGAGTATTGCAGAGGGTTGGTCAGCGACCATAGGCACTGAAGTGGCTGCAGCTCCAGAGTGAGGAGCAACAGTGAGTGGGGCTGTGAGTTGTGGAGTGCTGCTAGAGACTGCTATGAGAAGAGGGAGCATAAGGTGTAGTTATTGACAGCCATTATGTTCACACGACACTGACTTGTTTTCATAATTCATCATGCTCGTGTTGTGAATCAGTGTTGTGACTGTGAACTGCTGGTATGTTCTTGAGGACTGTGTGTTATAGTGTGAATGAGAATCATCACTTGGACACTTGGTATGTGTGTTAGACACTTCCACCCCAATTAGCACAACTGTGTGAGCCCCAGGTTCAAGATTAACTCTTTCAGTCTCAAGAAATGCACCATTTGTTCATAGGTTCCTACAAAGAAGACCAGTGAACACAAGATGCAACAATTTTACATTTCTCTTTACCATTACTTGGGCCTCTGATGCGAAACCCCATGGGACTAAAAGAGTTAACAGTTGGCTCATGTACAGAAGTATTTGGAAGGTTCGGAATCCTGAAAATCCATATGTGTATCACCCCTTCCCCCTCCCCACCCCCTTTTTTCTCTCACTCTCTCTAACATATATAAAGAGAAAACAAGAGAGAGAGAGAGAGAGAGTGAGAAAGAGAGAGAATTATAATGTATTACATAGGCAAATAGGTTTACATAACTGTTGAGTTATTCATTGTTGACTGGGTGGAATTTAAATGTTAATAGCTACACAACAAGACATCAGAGTGAAATTTACAGCAATGTGATGGAAACAATACAACTATCGAGTTACAATTTATTCAAACAACAGGAATCAATCATCTCTTACTCTACATAAAAACAGAGATCATGGCAGCAAATTGACTAGCATACCTGTCCATCAGTCTATGGTAGTTTTAAAAATCCCCACTAACAATGATATGAACTCCCAATTTAAAATAATTGTCAGGAAATGTTTGAGCAAGTAAAGGTGGCTGACATTATTATGACATCTACTAAGCGCCAAGTGGTCTATAAAATAATGTATGGCAAACTTCATATACCCAAGCCACCCTAATGGATAGAAAAGATCCTTGACTTTTTGCTGTTGTTGAGTATTCAGATACTAGAATTTAGCTAGAATCATCAACAAATGTAACACAGGTGCACACCTGTGAGTGACCTAGAATCATCAAAAATTTTAACCAGGTGCACACTTGTGACTGACCTAGAATCATCAACAATGTAACCAGGTGCACACCTGTGACTGACCTAGAATCATCAAAAATTGTAACCAGGTGCAAACCTGTGACTGACCTAGAATCATTAACACATGTAACCATGTGCACACTTGTGACTGACCCAGAGTCCCCAACAAATGTAACCAGGTACACCTGTGACTAACCTAGAGTTGTTAACAAATGTAGCCATGTATACGCATGACTGACCTAGAGTCAACAAATGTAACCATGTACACATGTGACTGACCTAGAGTTATGAACAAATATAACCATGTACACCTGTGACTGACCTAGAGTTATGAACAAATATAACCATGTACACATGTGACTGACCTAGAGTTATGAACAAATATAACCAGGTACACCTGTGACTGACCTAGAGTTATGAACAAATATAACCAGGTACACCTGTGACTGACCTAGAGTTATGAACAAATATAACCAGGTACACCTGTGACTGACCTAGAGTTATGAACAAATATAACCAGGTACACCTGTGACTGACCTAGAGTTATGAACAAATATAACCAGGTACACATGTGACTGACCTAGAGTTATGAACAAATATAACCATGTACACATGTGACTGACCTAGAGTTATGAACAAATATAACCAGGTACACATGTGACTGACCTAGAGTTATGAACAAATATAACCAGGTACACATGTGACTGACCTAGAGTTATGAACAAATATAACCAGGTACACCTGTGACTGACTAGAATCATCAACAAATGTAACCACATACGCACCTGTGATTGAGCTATATCCCATATCTGAATGGAACCATCCCCAGCAGCAGTTACCAGGAGGTTTTCATTGTTCTCGGCCCAAGTCAGATCAAACAGTCCATCATTCCAGTCAAAAAGCTGTACAAGCTTAATCTCCCCAGGGTGGACATCCAGGACAAACAAACTGCCACAACCTGTAGCACAATTTGACATGCAAAAATAAATAGTGAATAAAAGATGTGAATAACATATTTCTTCCCATAATTTTGTTATCAACACTTCAGGCTTTCAGGACTTCAGTTCTGCAATATGGCAGCATGTTGTTGTTTGATGTGTGTCATGGCGGCCTTAGCAACAATAATGACGCCCCCTGCAGATAGTCCTATGTGAAAATGTCAGTCCAGGATTCTCACTTATGTGACAGAGTATGCGCGTTTGAGCAGAGAACCTCTTCACTTGCTCCACAGATAAGTAATAGTAATGTTCACATTAAAAGGAGAAAGCGCAGAACAGATCGCACCAAAAAAATAATGCTGGTTAATGTAACAGTAAAAATAGCACACAAAAGTGGATGTGCCATTAAGAAATAATGAAAACAGAAGAGAATTTAGTTTTCTGTGGCAATTTATACGCTGAAAGTGACCTATGGGACAACAGTTCAACAAACAGGTAAAGGGGGTATTTGGAGGATGCCATGGTGGAAATGAAGCTAGTCTGGCTTAACGATGAAAGAATTACCAGGATGGCCCATCAACCAGATGAAGAAGACAGCGTGCTTGACTTGGCTTTAGTTTCCCCCTCAGTCCACACTGTAGTGGGTCTTCTGAGCCGATAACATGGACCAGCTATCACATTAAAGCACAATCTTTCTCTGGAAAAGTGCAACAGATATCCATCAAATTAGATGTGGGGAGATGTGGCACAGGGCTCCTCTCCACTGTCTCCTATCCTCTTCAACATTTACACAGTCAAGATCACAGGAGAACAACTGAGTGGCAGAGGAAGAACTTTATCATATGCGGATAACATCCTTGTGTACCGGCAGGGCAGGAACAGAGCTGACATTGTTTCGGATCTACAACAGGAATTCGATCGCAAATCATCCTGGTGCAACACCTGAAGGGTAACAATTAATCAATCAAAAGTCACAGTCACCTGGTTCTCATTAAATAATTACCTTTTCAAAACACCAATCCCCCGTGTGGGTTTCGGGGCCCCTTTGTGGGAAAAACAAGAATGGACCCACTGCCTCCTCAAAAGCATGTCGTAAGAGTCGACTAATTGGGGAGCTTCCTTTGAAGTCAGAGTGCATCTGCCGGACAGGCAAGGAACCAACAGTCTGTATTCAAGAGAATTAGATCTGTAAAACTGATGCACACGCAACACTCAGGTTCTGGAGCAGGACTGCAGTTCAGTAGTGGATGAGCAACCAGAACTTTCCGCCAGAGTGTACAGCTGGTGAATGCAAAGAAGAAGAAGAAGAAAACACCAATGCCAATATTAAAACTCTGGCACTGACATGGAGAGATCTGATTTCATGAAATATCTAGGTATAATATTTTACAGATGATAAGCATTTAAAAGACACATAGATCACATTATAACCAAAGCCAAGAAAGGTCTCTCTGCAATAAAAGTTATGGGAGCTGCAAACTCTGAGCAGCGGCTACTTGTAATTTTATATAAGGCATTAGTTCTCTCCCCTATTAAATATGCATTGGCCAACATGACACAGATAAACAGACTGAAAAAATTGAAAACAAGGCAATGCATATTATTCTCGGATGCACTAGAGACACCTCCTGTAAATTTATGGGATACCTCTTGGATTTCCCCACTATGGAAAACAGAATCAAAGTGAAGGAAGACCCTCAATACCCAGAAAACCACAGAAAAATAAATTCCCTTCTGTTTTCATTATTTCTTAAAGTCACATCCACTTTTCTGTGCTATTTTTACTGTTACATTAACCAGCATTATTTTTTCGGTGCAATCTGTTCTGCGCTTTCTCCTTTTAATGAATAAGAAAGAATAGACTTAAATGAGACAAATCCTGGATGGGTCAGGCTGAGGACGTCATCAAGCATGTTTGCCGCCTTACTGACATTAATTCTGGAACTGAATGGATACCCACGCCTCCTGCTCCAAACATGAACATTACAGTCCACATCACACTTGATGGAATCTGTAGAGAGCAGATTCCTGGCATTGTGGACACTTTAGTCAGAACACAGGTATTTCATTAACATTTACTCCTGCGTGCCCAGGTGTGTAGATTCAGATTATGGAGGTCAACTGCGACTTCCGAATAATGGTCCCAAATCTTCGAGGCCAAAAATATACAAGGCCTCAGTCACATGTCAATTGCAGACTTCTGGAGAGTTAAATTGCAAACTTCTGGCGACTTCCGCCACCGCCGAATTGCGGACTTTCGGGGACTATACCGCCACGAGAGTATCTCCCACGCGAGGCGTGGATTGGGGCTAAACTAGATGGCTGGGACTCACGAGCAGCAGCTACTGCATCTCCTGCAACTTTCTTAATTTTATTTGCTCGTGAGTCCCAGCCTAGTTTAGCTCCAATCCACACTACTCGTAGCGGCGTGGAAGATACTCTCGGCGGTGGCGGTATAGTCCCTGGGAGTCCGAAATTCGGCGGTGGCGGTACAGTACTCGGAAGTCCGCAACTGACATGTGACTGAGGCCCTGTTAGGGTATATTTTCGGCCTCGATAATTTGGGACCGTTATTCGGAAGATAGCCCCGAAAGCTTTCTATAGGTACTTTAGTAAAGTAAAGACTTACTAAAGACTCTTTACAGTTTCAGCCTTAGTTAAAATTGAAGACGTTCACTGTTTTTATAACACACCTGCAATGCCATAATACTGTGATGAAACGCAAGCTAGCCGATGAGGAAAATATGGAGAAAATTTAACAGAGTAGCCATGTCTTGATTTGGTTCTGAATGTTAAATTCATGCGAACAGAGAAGAGAAACAGACTTGATCTGTTGAGTTTAACCTTTCAACTATGGTGTTTAGCGAGAATTAGGTCCCCTTTACTTCCGGTGTTTTCCCAGTTAAAGGCCCCGAAAAGAAACTGTACGGAATTCATCCGAAACAGTTCACCAAGCAACAGGTGTTTCGTCCTTTTTAGGACGAATTTTTTGTATTATTTGAAGCCCCACACTGGCTTTTGCCAGGGGCCGCAATATAGGCAGGCCATAAATATGGCCAATTGCCTGAACACGGTTTCTGGGACCTCTCCACGGCGATCCTCATCCACATGGTGGCACTTTGTGTCATTGGGTGTTTATCGCTTGTGTGATGTCCTGGTGGGGTAGAAAGTCAGTCAGTCAGTCAACTGTACGGAAATCAAATTAACCGACTATCGATGGCCCCGTTGTAACCATCCGGGGCTCCAGTATAACCCTGCTGCTGAGCAAGTTCTTCGATTTCTGCTTCAGAGAATTCTCATCTAAATGGTAACACTTTATACTTTGCGTCACTGGTATTAATCGCCGAGTGTCCGGTCCTAGTGGAGATTTTTAAAGTTTTAATGTTTTGAACATGATTTGATTTGATCAAGAACCGACATCACAGCACTTGGGTCATTCTCATAAGTGCTCTGTTCCCATCTTCAGGAGCCAGCAAAGAGTTCCGATACTAATGGTGCCAGTAGCATTCGGATTAAACGTTCGTCTTGCTTTTCCTCTGAGCCTCGAGCATCTGCCAGAACCTCTCGTCACTCCCCCTTGCATCTATCTCACCAGACTGCAGTGATCCATCAACTCCTCCGAACTGTACACGCTCTCCCACAAGGCACTAACCACGTCTGCCTTAACATGTATAAGTTTTCCACCAAGTTGTGCAGAGCCAGCCCGTGAAAAAATCCAGACAATACTCCTCACCCGTGTCCTCCGCAGCGAAGCATTCCACTCTGCACGAAGCATACGTGTTCTGATCTTCCTCGGCATGCTTTCTGAGTCGGTTACAATCACGATGTATATGTGTGTCGTGTTCTCTTGCCAGCAGAAAGCTGCAGTGGCCGCCTCCACCCTTAAGCTGGATGTTGTGGTATCATAAGCAAGGCTCTCCTGCACCAAACGTCGACCATTAACTTTTGCTAAGAAGCCCCAAACACTTCTTTTGCCCCTTGACACTGAACCATCTGTGTAAATGATCAAATCCTCTGAGCGAGCATTATCTTGAATTAATTGCTGAATTTCCACCTACGTGGCACCTGCTGGCCAGTCTCTGCAATCCCGGCTCAGAGTGATTATGACTCTACACAAGCCTGACTGTTCAGGTGGCACTTTGACCCACTCCTCTCCTCTCCTCTCCTCTTGTTCTCAAGGATGCAAACCTGTCTGATTGTGTCTTCTGCCTGAGCCATCCATGAATTCCCTCTTATCAGTCGCTGACCCTTAACTGCACCCAGAGCTTCATGCAAAGGGTGGTCTGTGTCTGCAGCTACCCTGAGATATGACTTCGCCTGCAGCACCGTGTGCCTACCTGCAACCGTCGGCAAACCAAGGATGTATCGCATACACACCACTGGGGCGTCTCTGGTGCAACCCAGAATGATCCGCATTGCTGAGTTCTGTATGCGCTCTAGTTTGTCCATCTAACTCTTTGAAACAGTAATCAGTCCCAGGCCATAATCAACCACTGACAGGATCAGCTGCTGATATAGTGTGAAAAGCATTCTCTGCTCTATGTCAATTGCAGCCATAGTCTTAAGTGCACTAAGTCCTTTTTTGGTCATCTCGTCACAACACTCTCCACATGGTCCTTAAAGGACAGGCTCCTGTCAAATGTAATTCCCAGATATTTCAGTTTGCTCTCTCTATTGAAGTTTCTAACATCTATCGTGAGACTTGGGACACTACAAAACAGACGCCTTTTCCGGGTGGACGACAGCCCTCATTGCTGTACTCCACTCAATCACTTTGTCTACTGTCGCTTGTAGCTCCCGGGCTGTTTGTTCCCTCTCTTCCCCCTGGCTATATGCAAGTATATTATCAGCAAAAGTCAGTATCCTTTCAACTCTTAGTGCTTCTAGGCTTGCAATCTTGCTCGTATTCACGTTAAAGGCGAGATGGCGGATCCCTGTGGCAGTCCTGAAGCCAAAATGCATGGTTCTGAGGTCCATGAGGCCAGTGGGAGAGCAACCCGACGTGAATACAGGACAGCTGCAACCCAATTCACCAGCCATGGACTGACCTTCTTCTCCTTCAGTGCAGTCATTAAGATGTATCTGACTCTGTTATAAGCATCCTCGAGATCCAGTCCTAACGCCATAGTTTCCTCTCTGTTTTGGAACCCTTCATAGATGTCAAAAGCAAAACTGGCCGCATTTGCCCATGTGTCCTTTCCTGGCCTGCAGCTTCCCAGAACTCTTAGGAGAAGCTTCCCCCTTTCCAAAAATTCTTGCAGCTTTACAGCAACTATCTTCTCCAAGACTTTCCCAAATGTGTTTTGTAAGGTGATGATTCTAAAGCCACTGAGCTTAGAATGATCTTTAAAAGGTTTTGGTTGTAGAATTAGATAGCTGTGCCCCCAGAAGGGGGAACGAGCTAAAGCCCCCAGAAGGGGAACGATCTAAAGACCCAGAAGGGGGACGAGCTAAAGACACATGAAGGGGGACGAGCTAATGACCCCAGAAGGGTGACGAGCTAATGACCCCAGAAGGGGGACGAGCTAAATCCCCAGAAGGGGGACGAGCTAAAGCCCCTAGAAGGGGACCGACTAAAGACCCCAGAAGGAGGAAGAGCTAAAGACCCCAGAAGGGGGACGAGCTAAAGAACCCAGAAGGGGGACGAGTTTAAGACCCACAGAAGGAGGACGAGTAAAAGACCCCAGAAGGGGACTAGCTAAAGACCCCAGAAGGGGGACGAGCTAAAGACCCCAGAAGGGGGACGAGTTAAAGACCCCAGAAGGGGGACGAGTTAAAGACCCCAGAAGGGGGAACGAGCTAAAGCCCCCAGAAGGGGGACGAGCTAAAAACCCCAGAAGGGGGACGAGCTAAAGCCCCCAGAAGGGGGGACAAGCTAAAAAACCCGGAAGGGGGACGAGCTAAAGACTCAAGAAGGGGGACGAGCTAAAGCCCTAGAAGGGGGGACGAGCTAAAGACCCCAGAAGGGGGACGAGCTAAAGACCCCAGAAGGGGGACGAGCTAAAGACCCCAGAAGGGGGACGAGCTAATGACCCCAGAAAGGGGACGAGCTAAATCCCCAGAAGGGGGACGAGCTAAAGCCCCTAGAAGGGGACCGACTAAAGACCCCAGAAGGAGGAAGAGCTAAAGACCCCAGAAGGGGGACGAGCTAAAGAACCCAGAAGGGGGACGTGTTTAAGACCCCAGAAGGAGGGCGAGTAAAAGACCCCAGAAGGGGGACGAGCTAAAGACCCCAGAAGGGGGACGAGCTAAAGACCCCAGAAGGGGGACGAGTTAAAGACCCCAGAAGGGGGACGAGTTAAAGACCCCAGAAGGGAGAACGATCTAAAGCCCCCAGAAGGGGGACGAGCTAAAGACCCCAGAAGGGGGAACGAGCTAAAGCCCCCAGAAGAGGGACGAGCTAAAGCCCCCAGAAAGGGGGACAAGCTAAAAACCCCAGAAGGGGGACGAGCTAAAGACCCAAGAAGGGGGACGAGCTAAAGCCTCCAGAAGGGGAACGAGCTCAAGCCCCCAGAAGGGGGGACGAGCTAAAGACCCCAGAAGGGGGACGAGCTAAAGACCCCAGAAGGGTGACGAGCTAAAGCCCACAGAAGGGGGACGAGCTAAAAACCCCAGAAGGGGGATGATTTAAAGACCCCAGAAGGAGGACGAGCTAAAGACCCCAGAAGGGGGACGAGCTTATGACCCCAGAAAGGGGACGAGCTAAAGACCCCAGAAGGGGGATGAGGTAAAGACCCATGAAGAGGGACAAGCTAAAGACCCCAGAAGGGGGACGAGCTAAAGCGCCCAGAAGGGGGACGAGCTAAAGCTCCCAGAAGGGGGACGAGCTCAAGTCCCAGAAGGGAAGATCTAAAGAACCCAGAACGGGAACGAGCTAAAGACCCCAGAAGGGGGACTAGCTAGAGACCCACATAAGGGGGATGAGATAAAGACCCCAGAAGGGGGACGAGCTAAAGACCCCAGAAGGGGGACGACATGAAGACCCCAGAAGGGGAACGAGTTAAAGACCCCAGATGGGGGACGAGCTAAAGCCCCAAAAGGGGGACGAGCTTAAGACCCCCCAGAAGGGGGACGAGCTAAAGACCCCAGAAGGGGGACGAGCTAAAGACCCCAGAAGGGGGACGAGCTAAAGACCCCAGAAGGGGGACGAGCTAAAGACCCCAGATGGGGGACGAGCTAAAGACCCGAGAAAGGGAACGAGCTTAAGACCCCAGAAGGGGGGTGAGTTAAAGACCACAGAAGCTGGACGAGCTAAAATCCCCAGAACGGGGAAAAGCTAAAGACCCCAAAAGGGGAACGAGATAAATACCACAGAAGGGGGACGAGCTAAAGACCCCAGAAGGAGGACGAGTTAAAGACCCCAGAAGGGGGACGAGCTAAAGCCCCCAGAAGGGGGGAAGATCTAAAGACCCCAGAAGGGGGACTAGCTAAAGACACCTAGAAGGGGGACGAGAAAAAGACCCCAGAAGGGGGACGAGCTAAAGACCCCAGAAGGGGAATGAGCTCAAGACCCCAGGAGGGGGACGAGCTAAAGACCCCAGAAGGGGGACGAGAAAAAGACCCTAGAAGGGGGACGAGCTAAAACCCCAGAAGGGGGAGGAGCTAAAGACCCCTGAAGGGGGATGAGCTAAAGACCCCAGAAGGGGACGAGCTAAAGATCCTAGAGGGTGACGAGCTAAAAACTCCGTGTCAGAAGCCACAGTAACACTGTCTCATGTATCTCCGTGTCAGGAGCCACACGGCACTGTTCCATGTATTCCCGTGTCAGGAGCCACAGTAACGCTGTCTCGTGTATTTTTGTG